GGGGGTACGTGGGGCCACCAGGCTATGAATCTTGCCAAGCCCCAATACTCCACGTACAAGTACGAGTAAAGTACTGTACTGTACCAAACGGATACAGTGAGTGCTGTTTCAACAGACAACCGGTATGTAACCTATTGTATCATACGCGCACAGTCATTAAGACATTTTTGTCTGTCTCTGTGCATCTTATTAAGAGATTCGAACTTGAGTGTCAAGCGCTACTGGCTCCTAACACCCCCTCTCACCACTACTCCCGCTCCATGTGTTTGCTTAGCTACCTCGACAGCCCCCTGAATAACACAGCCCAGCACGGCCGGACCAATGCACGGGCCCTGCCACGGAACACAAGATCCGCCATGAGGCTTAAGGAGGGTTTTATGGAACTGTCTTTGATGGCGGTGTCCGGCCCGGGGGGGGGGGGGGGGGCAGAGGCTGCGATGTAGAATATCTAGGTATTCCCGCAGGTGACACAAGTTGACGAGCCGAGATTCGATCATTCCAGAAATCATGGGGAAGCGATGGCGGAATAGATAGCATGTACGGAGGATCGCTATTCCCAGAGTTAAGGGTAGAAGGGTTTACAGCTCTAAAAGAATTTCTAGAAAGGCCTAAGAGTGGGTGGCAGAATTAATTAAGCGGACTATCTTTGCTCATCCCTTTCGCCCTTGTATAATACAATTCTTTCCCGGGTCTGCCTCAATACCTAGATACCACTATAACCCTATTCTCTACCCCTCTCTCCTCCGAGCCCACCCTTCCAGGCTAGCACTGATATTCTCCAGAATTGCTACGACACACTGGATGAAATTCCTGGAAAACCGTAGGATTCTGACAATCCATCTCCCTTGCTCCCGTAGCACCTGAGCTAGGTTTTTGGTAGCGGTTAGAGTGTTAGGGTGGTCCGATCCAAAACATTTCTCGTACCCCTCCAATGCGCGGCGATTCATCACCTCCGATTCTTCGTACCTCCCTTGCTCCCGCAGCACCGCAGCGAGGTTGTTGACAGCCATCAAAGTGTCAGGGTGGTCCGATCCAAAACATTTCTCGTACCCCTCCAATGCGCGGCGATTCATCACCTCCGATTCTTCGTACCTCCCTTGCGCC